GGGCAGGCGCATCTGTGTCCAGAAGCAGAAGGAATGCAGGGAGGGGACTTCCCAGAGGAAGAGTGTGTGTGTGTGTGTGTGTGTGTGTGTGTGTGTGTGTGTGTGTGTGTTGTGGGGGAGGGGAGGAGGAACCAAAAAGGACCCCGAGTGGAATGTTGGGGTCCCTCCCAGCACAGACTCTGTGACCCTGAGCCAGTCCCTTGCCCTCCCGTTTGGCCTCCGTTTCCTCATCTGAGAAAGGGCTTTGTATTTTTGTGGGTCATGGTCTCTAAGAAAGATTTTGCACTTGGCTTTGAACAGTGGCTGGACACAGATGAAGAAACGGAGAAGATCCTCAGAGTGGAAGGGGGAGAAACAGTCTCCTCTCAGATGAAAAAAGAGTGGGGCCTCCACACGGCTCCCAGGAGCTGGTGTCATGATGTGTTTCAACATAGAGGAGAAATAAATCACTCTCTGGGCTGTGTCTTTATCTAAGATATTTGTTAGGGAAGGATTGAGTCTTTTTATATATACTTGTATATATTTCATTGAAAAAGCCACATTATTAACTGGTGCACCTGCTAATAGTCGTACCGGCTAATAATGTGGATTTTTTCATAAATATTTACCGGTTAGTAGTGCGGATTTTTAAAATAATATCTACCGGTTAGTAAGTGCGGATTTTAATATAAATATTTACTGGGTAATAATGCGGATTTTAAAATAAATATTTACCATTAATTCGGATCCCTCTTCCTGGCTTGCAGATAGCCACCTTCTTGATGAAACAGGAATTTGGGGGGTGAAATAGGACAGGTTTAGGAAATTTTAGAAATTTTGGAAATTAAGGGAACCATGGAGGAAGCCCAGGGCTACAGAGCAGGAGAAGGTATATTTCCATAAAATAGGGAAGCTGAAAAGCTGCAACCGGTACATTTCCATAGAATGAGGGAGCTGGGAACAGCAAAAGGTCTATATTTACAAAATAAAGAAAAGGAAGCCCTTTATCCAGAAGGAGAAGAAGCAAGCCCAAGGGGACTAGGAAAACAATAAGGAAGGAGAGGGGGAGAACCTCACATGTCCCAGGTGAAGTTCCACCTTTGAGCCTAGAGTTACTGTAGTAACCAGTCTGGGGGAATAGTGACCAATCAGTGGGGATATCAAGGCACCAGGCTCATGGGAACCCCCAAATTTATAGCCCTTTGGTCAGAAGTTCAGGTGACGTGAGGATCCCTCAAAATTGTAGCTGGTGCAATCAATGATTCTCTCTCATCATTGATGTTTCTGTTTCTCCCTCTCCCTTCATCTCTGAAATCAATAAAAAAAATATTTTTAAAAAAATTGTGGCTGGTGTCTGAAGTAAGGGCAGTCTTACTGGGGACAGTGCTCTGACCCTGTAGAGCTGGCACTAACTCCAGGTCATATCTCACTGCATTGGGGTCCAATTGTGCTAAGATCTGTGAGGGCCTGAGTTGGACTTTATTTGGTTGGTGGCTGGAAGTCATAGAAAGTTTATGTATGAGAAGATGACTGGCAGGATTAGTAACTGGGGTCCTGGAAAAAATAATCTGGCAGAGACTGATGCTGGGCAGAATTCTCCCTGAGTCCCAGGCCCCCTGGGTCACACAATCTCAATTTTGACGTGGGATGCTGGTCACCAACGATGTTTCCTTTTCAAAAAATAAAGAGCAGCGATAAAGCAGGTTGCATAGATTTTCAGTCGAAGGTGTGTGCGAATCACAGAGTTCATGCTTGTGTTATTGTGTATTAATTATTGTATTACTTTTTCATGCGACCAACTGTTGTTATATTGTTACGACGCTTCACTGGAAAACTACTGTTGCCCCACCCTGTACCGTGGTGGGGTTGGAGCCACCCCAAGCTAGGCCAGCCAGGGAGCTGCAGAAATGCTCGCTCCTGGGAGCAGAAGGTAGTTGTATCTTCCGCCTTCACCCTCTGCAGACACTGAAATTCATGTAAGAGGCTTGGATGCACACCTAGCCCAAGGCTTCTCTTTAAAGCACAAGGGGTGTGGCAGCAAGATCAGGGCACAGCTGCCCTGACTCCCATCATGGAAGGAAGGGGGGGGGGGGAGGAGAAGAGGGGGTCAGGGAGGTAGCCTGCCGCCTGTCCCCCAGTTTAACCACCCCCTTCCTTTGCAGCCTCCACGGGTCTTAAAATCTCTCTCCCTCCCTTCCCCCCAGGACACGGACCCTCTCCACCCCAGACTCCGGGGACGGCCAGCTGGCACCCGCGCGGGTCTGAAAGGCCATCCCCCCCACCAGGGCGGGTCTGGAGGAGGCCCAGCTGCTCAAGGGTCAAGCCCACGGGCGCACACCCCAGCTGCCATCCCCGCTCCCATCCGCTCCCCGGAGCTCCCCACTAGGCCCCGGATGCTCCCCCCTCTGTCCCCTGAGCATCTGCGAGCTCGCGCGCTGGCTGAAACCGAAGCCACTGCGCCCGGGACGCGCGCACTCTGGCGCTGCGCGAGCGTCTTGAAATCTTTCATCCCTCCGCACCCCAGCCCTGCTCCCCACACAGAGGGACCAAGCCCCCTTCCCCGCCCGCCCGCTCCCATTGGTGGGCCTGGACCGGAAGTGTTTGCTGACACCGGTTTAAGGAAAGAATAACCCGTCTAGCCTCCGGCCGGCCTGGCCAGCTGTCAGACTTCGCCTTTCCGTCCCATCCCAGGAGCGCGGGTCCCAGCGCCCAGTGCCAGGGGATCCTCCTTGTCCCATCCTCCCAGTGAACTTAAAACCCAAGTACGAGGGGAACACACGCAGCTTCCAGACAAAAACCCTGGCAGCCCCCACCATCCCTGACCTCGCAGTTGCAATCCCCACCTGCGGCCCGGAGACAGCCGGGCGGGCGCAGGGAGCTGGGTACGCGCGCAGAGTTCTGAGGGCTGAGCTGCAGGCGCCCGGGCCTTGGCCCAAACCTTGTCAATTTCTCTCCCAGAAACTGGGGACTGAGGTCTGCAGCCCACACCGCCCTGAACCCGGAACCCCTGGCCACTTTCCGTCCTCCCCCACCTCTCCAATCGCCCGCTCACAGAGAGGCCACACAGCTTAGTCCGGCTTGATTATTTTTAAGGACACAAGGAATTGGGGGGTAAGGGGGGGGGGTAGACATAGGTGATCCTTAGGTCAGCGTGGAAGTTACAAAGTGAGGGGGCGGGGGTGATGGGGGGAGGGAGCAGCTCAGACCCTGAATCCAGAGGAGGGAGGCAGACTCGCCCCGCCTCCCCCAAGGTAACCTACCACTTCCTCTGGGATCTGAGGTGCCGCCCCTCTGCCCCCACTCCCAGCTCCGCCTGCAGGGAGAGCCTGCGGGAGGGTTGGTTTCTGTGTGTCTGTCCGTCTCTTACGCGCAGGGAGAGTCCCCAGTTCCTGGTGAGGTCTCCCCGCTTCTTGGAGGGAAGGTGAGCTGGGAAAGGAGGGCTGGTTTCCAGGATGCTTCCGCAAATCGCGCCGGGGCGCTAACCTGCTGAGAGAGGAAAGGTTGATTAAAACCCGGCGGCCGCTGGGTGGCGATTCCTCGAATAATTGGAGGTCAGGGGTGCCTCATCCGCAGGGAATCAAAGGTCTAGAAGCAATTGGCTCGCCAGAGGTAACATTCGGACCCCTTTGTGTGTAAATTCAAATAACAATGTAACCCAATTTCCTAAGCCCGCAACGAATCCTGAGAGAAATGACTACAAAGAGCAGAATCTGACAGTAATTGCTGGAGGCTGCCAATTTCTTGGGGAATGGCCTTTTGTGGGGGTGAAATTTCCTCCCGCCAGGCCTGGCCAGGGAACCAGTGGGGAGCGGGGAGAGGGAAGGAGACACGGATTGGCAGTCACACCCTGCTTAGGGGTGATCTTGGGGCTGAGTGCGCTCCAAGGACATCACCAACCCCGCCCGCGCCCCCCCTCTCCCCCCCCCCGTGTCTGTGGGCTGTAGAGAGGATTGGAAGCTCTCTCTTAAGCACCGGCCTTGCAAACTGTGTGCGTCTGGCCCTGCCCTTCACACTTTCCAGGGAGCCCAGGTGCCTGCCCAGCCCCAGCAAGGCAGGGGCTCACTGCCCTCCGAAGGGCGGGCAGGGGGCCAGGGCACCTGTGCCAGAGGGTCGTGATGGTGCCCACCTGGTGCACTTGGCAGGTCACTGGGTGCCAGTGCAGAGGGGTAGGTTGCCCATCTCCTCAGTGACTTTCTAGGTGACCCCAGGCACGTCACTGTCTCACTCAGAGCTCATTGCTATTATTTGGCTTTATAATGAGGGAACGCTAGAACCGCTGTCTCTAAGCTTCCGTTTCAAAGAGTGCTGTGGGACCATCTCGTGCCAGGTGGACCCCGGCCGTGCCCAAGGGTCCGAGGGCGCATGCTATGGCTGGGCAGCACAAGGGCAGGCGTCTTTTGGACACAGTCCCAGCGCCATTGGGGGCCCACTACCTTCTGCTACCGTCGGGTACTGGCACTGCCCATCTGACTCCCTCCCCCGCGGGCACGGGGAGGGAACCATGGAAAGCCCCTGCATAGCAAACTTTAGTTTCAAAGGCTTTGCTAGATGCAGATCGCGTACGCGACTTGTGATGAAAGTATTCTTAGTAGATTTGCGTAAGTATAAAATAAGGAGGACTTTTTCTAGCCTTAGAGAGTAAAAAAAAATAGAAAAAACTTAGGTGGTAGAAAACTTGTCAAATACAGAATAATTGTTGCCAGATAAAAAACAGAGCAGAGCGTAATATCATTATAGAACAAGACCTCTGAAGTATAAGGACCGAGCATACATCTAGTACAATAACTTAGGGAGTGGGGTGCGGGTGATGTTG